GTCGATTTATGAAGTGTATTTTATTACAACTCATTAGTGTTCTATCGGCTGCTCGAGCTGTTGTCCAGTAATGGTGCCAGATGTGGTGTCAGCACGGGGCAGTTCAAGGTCATTGCACATGCAGTGCTCTTGTTGCATTTAGTGTGTGTGTGTGTGTGTGTGTGTGCTCACGTGTAGGATAAGGGAGTGTCCTAATAAAATGAGTGATGAAGAACTCTCCTGCTGCATCCAAACAGCTTACTCTGCATAAACTCCCTCTCTCTCTTTCTTACTCGCACCTCCAGTGTCATTTTCTCCTGCAGTGCAACTCCATCACTTGTAGATTGTTGTGAGAGCGCCAGCTACAGCCTGATTAGGATTTAACAAGCTCAAAGACATTGAGTAAATTTTACTCTGCCTGTCAAAGCGCTTGTATATTCCAATGCATATAAAGAAGCTGTAATATTTCATCTAATTATCATCTTCTCTGTAGGTTGAGGTGTGTGTTTCTAATTAGTGTTTTGTGTCTGAATGTGGTTTTGATTGCTTTGGCAGTCTGTGCTTGATTTCTCTGTGGAGATGTTTGAGATGTGTACTGAATATACTATAGAGCTGATGTCAGTTCTGATTCAGTCCACAGATGCCGACTATGACCGTGTTCCTGTGGAGGCTTATGGGTTGGCAGTGCTGAAGGGAATGGGCTGGAAGCAAGGAGAGGGAATCGGACACACATTTAAACAGTAAGGACCTTTCTTTCCCCCAGTTAAATGTAATTGAAGTAATTCAAATGAGTGGAGAGAGAGAGTTTCTCCCACATGAGCACCACTTTAGCATGTTTCATCTTTGACCTCTGCAGTGTCTTTATAGTTTCGTCACTGTTTTGTGTGATAAGCACTTTCTAATGCACGTGATGTTTGGCTCTCCGCAAGTCTTTTCCACTCATGTTTCCTTGTGTTGGGATTATTGTCCCGGCTGGAGACATCAATGATGTGAGATTATGATTTTATGTCAAATGCAATGAAGAATTATTTCAGACCGGCGGAGAGAATCTTTGGCGTGGACTGGCCGCACGCTTTTTAATCTTCTGTGCTTACGAGCCCATCTGTCTGCTTATATGAACACGGAAACACACAAGCTGCTCTTTTTGATGTGCATATGAGGGAGATGTGTTAGCTTGTGGTTTATGATTGAAATATCCTAATAGCTTCTTGTAAAAAAAGAAATAATTTTCTCCTCTTATGTCTTGTTAGAGATGTGAAGCCCATAGAGCATCAGTTAAGGCCTAAAGGGCTGGGGTTGGGTGCCGATCGCTCTGCTATTAGAGACCTGGAGCCCGGTGTCCCCAAGAGACGCCCTAAACCCGGTGAGGAGAAAAAGGAAGAGGAGGCGCTGGTTCTGGGGCCTGGAGGATATGTGCAGGTCCTGGCAGGAGCCCATAAAGACCTGTATGGGAAGGTGAATGGACTTTACTTCAACCACATCCGCTTAGTGGTTAATAGAAGTTGTTAGCTCCCCCTTGTGTCAATAAATAATGCACAATATAGTAAAATAAATGTAAAATATTTTGTAATATAAATGGCGATATATAAATATATATGGTTTGGGTGCCGATCGCTCTGCTATTAGAGACCTGGAGCCCGGTGTCCCCAAGAGACGCCCTAAACCCGGTGAGGAGAAGAAGGAAGAGGAGGCGCTGGTTCTGGGGCCTGGAGGATATGTGCAGGTCCTGGCAGGAGCCCATAAAGACCTGTATGGGAAGGTGAATGGACTTTACTTCATCCATATTCACGTCTATGACAGTAATGGTGAAGCAGTGTACTGACAAACTAATGATCAGAAAGAAATAAGCACAATGTATACATTAGTGATCTGGGTAAAGTGTCAGATTTTATATCAATCTACTAAAAAGTGAAACCTCTAAAGTTGATTTAAAAAAAAATTAATAAAAGATCAGCTTCAGACAGTGGCGGCTCGTGGGTTTTAAAATAGAGGAGGCACACTGTATTGGTCTGGGATCCCTGCCGATTATTATTATTATTATTTGCTTAACCACTTTTAAATGGCTTTTTGGTTGCTTTTAGTCAGAAAACGTAAAGAAAACGACATACATACAGCAAGATAATATAATTTCACTTACCTGACCTATCACTTGAAGCAAACATCCATCCCCAAGGTCCTGGAGTGGCCTAGCCAGTCTCCAGATCTCAACCCCATAGAAAATCTTTGGAGGGAGTTGAAAATCCGTGTTGCTCAGCGACAGCCCCAAAACATTACTGCTCTAGAGGAGATCTGCATGGAGGAATGGGCCAAAATACCAGCAACAGTGTGTGAAAACCTTGTGAAGACTTACAGAAAACGTTTGACCTCTGTCATTGCCAACAAAGGGTATATAACAAAGTATTGAGATGAAATTTTGTTATTGACCAAATACTTATTTTCCACCATAATTTGCAAATAAATTCTTTAAAAATCCTACAATGTGATTTTCTGGATTTTTTTTTCTCATTTTGTCTCTCATAGTTGAGGTATACCTATGATGAAAATTACAGGCCTCTCTCATCTTTTTAAGTGGGAGAACTTGCACAATTGGTGGCTGACTAAATACTTTTTTTCCCCACTGTACATCTGCATAATCGGATGATCTTAAAGCAACATAATATCCTGTTATGTCTGTTATGTTGCTAAATAAAAAAGTGACATGTTTTACTCTGTATAGTAATAATGAACATTTACGCAGGTCAGCAGTAGCATCAGTGTTTGAGTGTCTGCTGCTGATCTAGGAAGAAAATGAAATGACATTTCAGCCCAATGTAATTCGCAAAAATCTCACTGCAAGTTCATTAGAATCCAAACACTTTTGAAACTCTGCTTTGGCTTCTTAGTCCAATAAAGATCTCAATTTGTTGTTTATGTACAAAGTTATACACAAGCCACCAACAATTTCCACTCATGTTATCTTTTTTAATAATAAAATGTAAAATTCCTTCAATATGCCTTTGACTTGATCTCTGAATTTCTGAAGCATCACTCATCCTTATCCATATAAAGCCTACTGCATCAAATGATACATTAAATTCTAAGGCCTCTAAATGATCAACTTGTCAAAACTTTGCTGAAAACAATGTTTGCGGTACACAATCTACTACGTGCCTTCAGTCATTTATTGATAGTTTCTAATTTTTAGAAAGTAAAAGGCCTTTTAGTAGAATTCTAAACATGTCTACTTTCAGGTCTTGGTACTGTACGTGTGTCTCTTGCTGTGAAATCTTTAATGATTCTTATAATGCAAATGTAAGAATAACTTTTATATTGCTATTAATATTTTAAAATGAACATTAATTGCACTTAAGCAACTTGGTTTACTTATTTATCCATAAAACATTTTTAGAAAAAAATCATGTTAAGATGTATAAAATATGATCTGAGGAACGTTTATTTACATTTACATTTACATTTAGTCATTTAGCAGACGCTTTTATCCAAAGCGACTTACAATTGGGGGATACATAAAGCGATTCTTCTTAAAGAGGCAAACAGACACAGGAAGTGGTTGTAATACCAAGTTCTTAGACATTGTTCAAATAAGTACAAGCTAGAAAGTATTTGTACATTTCTCTGTCATCATTATATTGCATTGCATTATATATTTTCCTCCACAATACAAATATAGCTTTGATCATTAAACTAAACTAAATTTAAATATCTTAAGACATATCACATGGGAGATATAAAGTGACGACTGATAACGTTACTCAACAGTAAAACAACACACATGCAAACTTTTTTAGTATTTTGTCTAAAGTTCCAAAATAAATGTTAAATTTAAAAATAGATTTTTTTTCTGATAATTATTTCATGTTAGACTTTACAGGTTTAAATATTATTCCTTTACCTAGCGTTACCATTGCTTCGTGTACTGATACATAGACGCTGCACTGCCATCTATCGACATGGATCAGCATGATGTAAATCTTAATTTAATGTAAATTACACTGATACTAGTAAGATTTAGATAGCGGTCCACACAATAAAATATTTTGCTTACCTTTGCAAAAAAACAACAACTTGGGCATCACTACTCAGGAATTTCTCCGTCATCAAGTCTTTTCATTTTGTGTTTGCTGTACGGATGTTTACACTTTTTTTCGGTCAGTCTTTCTGTCTTCAGATCTTTACCGATTCTCCTGTTGTTTCTGCTGGTAAAGCACGATAATAAGTGTGATTTATGGATTAATTTTCGCTCAGCAAAATACACTAGTGTATCTACAGAGGTGGCAACCAGTCAGCGTGAAGATTCTCTCCGATGGTGCAGGTCACATCATTTCTTTAATAAAGCAAATCTCTCCCGTGAACTGCCAAAATACAGA